GAGAGTTCACATCCTCTCTGGGTAATCTGTTCCGTGTTTTACTACCTTCATAGTGAGAAAACTGTTTCTAATATCTAACGTAAACCGTTGCTCCTTGCTCTGTCATCTGCTACCAATAAGAACAGTCTAGCTCCATCCCCTTTCATGCCCCTCTCCAGGTAGTTGAAGACTACTATTAAATCCCGTCTCAGTGTCCTCTTCTCTCAACTAAATAAACCCACTTCCCTCAGTCTCTCCTCAGAAGTCATGTCTAGCCCCCTTACCATTTTCATTGCCCTCCACTAGACTCTCCCATTTGTCCACATCCTTTCTGTAGTAGGGGGATCAAAACTGAACACAGTACTCCAGATGTGGCCTCACCAGTGCTGAAGAGAGAGGAATAATCACTTCCCTTGCCCTGCTGGCAACACACCTACCAATGCAGCCCAGTATGCCGTTAGCCTTCTTGGGAACAAGGGCACACCGTTGGCTCGTATTCAGCTTATTAGCCATTATAACCCCTGGGTCCTTTTCTGCAGAGCTGCTGTCCAGCTAGTCAGCCCCCAGCCTGTATTGGTGTATGGGATTATTCCATCTTAAGTGCAGGATTCTGCACTTTTTTTTGTTGAACCTCATTAAATTCCTTTTGGTCCAATCCTCCAATTTGTCTAGGTCATTATGAATCCTAGCCCTGAATCCAGCATATCTACTACTTCCCACAGCTTTGTGTCACATGCAAACTTGCTGAGAATGTACTCTATGTCATCATCCAAGTTGATGAAGATACTGAACAAAATTAGCCCTAGGACTGACCCCTGGGGCACTCCACTTGATTGCAGTTGCCAACTAGACATTAAGCCAGGGGTTGGCAACCCCCAGCACTTGTGCCATTAGTGGCATGTGGAGACATTTTTCCTGGCACGCCAGGAGGCACGCAAAGAAATTGTTTTATTTTTTTTAAGTTGCTGCTCCGGGCTCTCCTGTGCAGCCACAAGTCCCAGCAGTGTGGCAGGCACTGGGCAGAGCCAGAAGAACACAGGCAGGGAGGTGTCTGTACTCTACTGCCCTCCCTGCTCCCAGGCTGCCCCTCCAGCCTGGCTGGCCCTGGAGGGAGCTGCCCAGGCAGGCAGACACCCTGTCCCACCAAGGGCAGCACTGAGGTGCCAAGTGCTGGGGCCGGACGGTCGGGACAGGGTCTGGGCGGCATGGGGGGAGGGCACTGCGAGCAAGCCAGCCTGGTCAGGCCCTTAGGAAAGCGGGGGCTGGGCAGGAAGTGGGGGCTGCCCCGGGGCTCTGCGGGCTAGAGCTATGGTGGGCGGGCAGGCAGGATGCCCAGCAGCACCTGTGGTGGGGCCTGGGCAGCCCGTGCCGCTCCGCAGGGATGGGCTGTAGCCACCCTGCGCACGTGGCTGGTGCAGGATGCCTGGCTCAGGGGGCTTCCCTCTCTGGGATCAGCCTCCCTGCATGCTGGGCACAGCGCGGGCAACGCAGAGCCATCCCTGATGCAGAGGCCTGGCCGCGGGAGCCCCCTGGGCCCTGGGAACAACCATTGTGGCTGGCGCCGACCGCCCCGGGCCCCGCCCTTTGCCC